ATTTTCATATTGTTGGGGTGTAAATTAGGTAACGAATTCTAAAAAAACGGCAAATTGTTCCTGGAAATCCCTTGGTTGGATTATGGTGTAATACACCCTCATTCAACCCATCACGATTAGAGTAGGACCGGAGGTCCCGTTTAATAGCCCCACCATTTTTATTGTCACTCATTTTCGTACTGTATGCGGGAGGGGTGTAAATGTAGGTATCAATTTCTCGAAAATGACAAATTGTTCCTGGAAATCCTTTGGCGGGGTTACGGTGTGATACCCCCTCATTCAACCGATCAAGGTTAAAGTGTGACCGGAGGTCCCGTTTTATAGCCCCACCTTTTTATAATTTTCACTCATTTTCATATTGTTGGGGTGTAAATTAGGTAACGAATTCTGGAAAACGGCAAATTGTTCCTGGAAATCCCTTGGTTGGATTATGGTGTAATACCCCCTCATTCAACCCATCGATGTTAGAGTGGGACCGGCAGTCCCGTTCAATAGCCCTTCCCCCCCCCCCCTTATAATTTTATTTTTCACTCATTTTCGTATCTGATATGCGGGAGGGGTGTAAATGTGAATAACAATTGCTCGAAAATGACAGATTGTTCCTGGAAATCCCTTGGTTGGATTATGGTGTAATACCCCTTCAGTCAACCCATCAAGGTTAGAGTGGGACCGGATGTCCCGTTCAATAGCCCCCACCATTTTTATTTTCACTCATTTTCGTACTGGTATGCGGGAGGGGTGTAAATGTAGGTGTCGATTTCTCGATAATGACAGATTGTTCCTTGAGATCTCTTGCTTGGTATTTAGTGTAATACCCCTTCATTCAACCCATCAAGGTTAGAATGGGACCGGCAGTCCCATTTAATTTTAATTTTCATTCATTTTCGTACTGGTGTGCGTGAGGGGTATAAATGGTTTTATCTGAATTTGTTGTTTCTTAATTATCATCATCAACACCATCATCATCATTGTCATTATTATTATTATTATTATTATTATTATTATTATTATTATTATTAATAATAATATTATTATTATTATTATTATTATTATTGTTATTATTATTATTATTATTATTATTATTAATGACACAAATTGCTACCACCTCTTCTGTTATTTATATCTTTGTGGATTATGCTGTAGGGAACCAGTGCAAGTTTATGTTGAAATTTTTTAGTTAAGGTTTCAAACAAAGCGATGACAGAAATATGTGGTCAAGTGAGCTTATGGAGTTAGAAATCATATCAAAATTTTACCATATTTTTGCAACTTACGCCAAGTGAAAAGGTAGTGTTAATTTTGATTGACTAAATTTAGAAATAAATGTATGTTCATCAATATTCAGTGGTTAATAACACTATCTTCTGAATAATCAAAGTACATTATAAGACCCTTTAAAATGCACTATTTAAAGAAGTTTAAATAGAAAAAAAAATTATTATAAAATATAGGTATTTCTTAGCGTACGATCTTACTTCTGTACCCCACCACACAGCGCTAGAAGATTTGAGAAATGGTAGATTCCAGAAATGTGCATATTCATGAAGTCATCATTCCGGTAATGCATTTAAGGCTTAGCTCTGGTTAAGGTAAGGTCAATGTAGGTCTATGTGTATTATGTAATTATATTACAGTTTACAACACGTAATAATAGGTAATGTGATTTTAACATAAACACGAACACCGAAGTGTGATCGGCAACTGTCACCATACAATTTTGGTATCCATCATAATAACTTTTGGTACAAAATACTGACAGACTAGGTCCAGGGAGATGTAAATCTCCCTGCTCGGTCTACCTTGGAGCGTTACAGGCTACAAGCTCGGAACCTGCAGCGACGTACACGCTCATTGCACAGCAGGGGCAGACGATGCAATCACCATGGTATTCTTGTACAGAGGTTACGGTACACGATTGTAAAGTCACTATAAATGATTTTATACAAAATTAACATGCATATATGTATGTTACAGCACGAAAGTATAAACCCACGATTCATTATTAAATTAAAATCGGCGACGAGTCTATAATTGTATTAACTGTTCGTTACCAGAGCAATAAAGAATATCTCAACAGAGTCCACATAATGATTTTTTGTTTGTTATATTTTTAATACTCAGGTGGAAACACTGACCAAAACCAGGTGCACAATCAAAAACAAAAAACTTAATTGTTCCGGTATTCATTGCTCAATTACAACGGTACAGAGAAGTAAAAATCAACATAAAAAATGCAACCTACAGAGCGAAGTCAGTTCTATTTCAAGAATTGATAGGCCATTGTAACTTAACTAGACGTATCCGGAGATTTTCCACTCGGCAGACTTGTACACATTTCTTACTCTTTTGTGTATCATAACCAACAAGTAAAATCAATACAAATTCAGTGCTTTATAAAACAACCGTCATATGTGAGTAAACTTAAATTTTACATGTATAACATGACGTGATAGCGTTAATATCATTTACAGCATACTGTATGCTAGTGTTTGATATTTAACAGTTACACTTAAATATAATAAAATGACAATATTCAAAACTTAAATAATTGAAGGTGTTATTTCATAGTATTAACCTTTGGCGTGTGAGCCATAGAAAATGTCTTAATAGTACATAAATGTTTCATTTAATAGGTACACAGACCTAAACCAAGTGAACGATCAAAAAAAAAAAAAAAATCCGTAACCCGGTAATTATTCACATAAAAGGGTAAAAATAATCTATAAATCAACATAATTGGTGTACAGAACAAAAGCATTATCATGACTCATATTAAATCATGGCGAACTATATTAAAAAATGAAGTATAACCGTTTTGTCAATAACTGAAACTTAGGGTCGTGTCCAGAGATTTTCCCACACGGCTGGCAGTACTTTCTTTTGATCGTATTGGATCTAATCAAGACCACAGATAAAATCTAATACAGAGTAAGAGCTTAATATAATAAAATGCAAACAATTTTTTCTTAGTTTCAGTTATGTTCAGCATGTAAGAAATAAATGGACTTCCATCGTCTGCCGGGGAAAGCCTGACGATTACCTGGTCACTTCTTCTTAGGGCACATAAAAAAATGTCGGATTATCTCCTGCCCGCGTAAAAAAAGGGAAATATTTATGCAAGAATAAAAAAAAAAATTTTGCCACAAAATTTCTTTCAATCGCTAAAAAATACAATACAATTTCGTGACTGGAAATATATTTCTTTACAAAACAATAAATTTAAAAAAATTAGAACAGTTTTTATACAATATTTACAATTTAAAAACACTCCCTCATCAATTAACAAAAAAAAAAACCAATATTTTATTGTCGTGATTAAAAAAAAGTGATCTAATATTTATTCACGTGTCCTTAAATAAACTTAGACCAGCCTAGTTCGATCATAGTTAAACATTTGACGTCATCAAAAGTTTGCATTTTTACAATAAAAACATAAGTTAGTGATTCGAATAATATTATAGGCCTATTAAATGTTATGTTAGACATGATAAATTGACAATTTTCTTAAGTTAATACTGAAATTTGTAATATTTTTAATTGGTATATAAAACTTCAGCCTTTGCCGCTAATAATGCCTCAACAGTACAGTACATCAATGATTTATGGTCAGGTGGTACATACTGACCAAAACCAGGTGCAAGATTTTTGGTCAAGTGGTAACCCATGACCAAAATATTTTGACAGTGACTTGTTTTTCAGTAATCTTTAACAAAATCATGTAGAAATAAACATTATAATGATAATTCTTTAGTCATATAAATACATAAGTACGGTAAGCAATGTGCATGATAAAGTATATACTAATGGCTGATTGTGTTAGGCATATAATAGGCCTTTTTATAATATTGCTTATTTTCAGCAATGCCTTGTATGCATTAATTTTTCAGATGGCTTGTAGAGTTTGGAATCGATGAATTTCTATTTTCAGCATAGGCCTTCGCCATGATATTTTATAAGCCTGACTTTACCAAGTATGCCCCAGGATGCAGTTTTCCTCAGTACTTTTTTCCTTCAGCTAATACTTGATGTCTCTGTGGCCTGTACACGAATTTTGTGATAATGTGTCTTGGCTTGCCCGATCGCTGTTGACGCCCTACCCGTGCATTGACAGTTTCCGATAGTAATATCAGGAAGACAAAGATTATGCTGAAAATATTAAATATTCTTTAGGTTTTTCTAACGGTTATTCTTTAATGCCAGAAAGCCTTAAAGGTTCTACTGTAACGTTCCCGACTAATTAGATGACTATCACGAATATGCATTCAATGGATTTTAACAAGTCTTTGACACAGTAGGTACTATATTTTCTTCAGTTCGGAAATGGAACACGTCAATTTTATAGGCCAGCTGTGAGCCCGGGCAGTTTTTCTCTTGAAAGACTTTGATATATATAAAAATGACTGAAGAAAATTTTATTCAATCAGATTAATTTTTATATGTAAATGATCGCAAGAACATGTCTATTCTGTTGCCGCTTCAACCTGATATTGATCGCAAGAAAATTTGCCTTCTGTTGCCGCTTTAACCTAAGCAATGGGATTTATTGTAGGCAAAGTTATGACGTAAAAAATCGACTCCGCATAAAAAACCCACATTAATATTTATACTTTCCCAAACATTTATGGGGGGCGAATTATTTGAGAGAAATAAGAATCCGCTTGTTAATTGTTTGCAATAGCTGTATTCATAACGCTCTATTAACTGTTTCAATTTAATTTAAGTGCATCCTATCCATGGTTAAGAGATACTTCTTTGTTATACATTGTAAAGCCAGACTAAACGGCTTGTTGTTCAGGTAAGATACACCTAGACGATGACGTAGAATGACGTATGTTTGTTGTGTTATGGTGCAAGTAGTACACAAGTCGGGCGCCTTTTTGAACATATGCATTACTAACTCTTGCAAAAAGCGACGAGATAACTCGCATTTGGCCTAATCAATAGAAAGTGCTATAACAGTGCCACCGGTGAGTTTACTCGTCCCCTAATAATTTCCAGACAAATTATTAGACATTTAAAAAAATGTATGTTGGTACATGTGAACTTGTTTTGGCGCAAGGGGAAGAACCTTAAAGAAGGGTATGGCAGCCAACCTGTTAAAAATGAACGTAAAAATGAATCTCTATCTATGTCGCATCAGACCTAGTTGGTGACGGAACCTCTATATAGGTCTAATATCATTGAATGCCTGTACTGCTTTGTGTCTATATCCGGTATTTCCTCCACAACCTTGTTCATACCGAGGTAATACACAAAGTAACTTAAATACACTCCGCATTCATCAGTGTTGTGCTGATGTGGAGTTGACACCTTCTTTATTTTGCATGTGAACGGGATACTGAATTTTTTTCGCCAATCGTCCTGCACAACTTTCACTGCAAGTTCCATTTCTCTCATATTTTCGCCGTGCATTGAATTAAATGTAGTTACAGTCTTGTTCTTCAGGTTGATGCCAACAAGGAACCAGTGAACACCATTGTTCACTGGGAACAGTAACCATTCGTATGCTCCGAGATCTGTGTTCCTCGTCCATCTGAGAAGGGACGTATCTCCTGTCCCTGTTACTTTTTGGTACCATTGTGATTTAAAATTGTAAATCTTTGGCAGGTCGTCGTTCATCCTAGACTTCATATGTATCAGCTCCAGATAGCCATTGATGACTACATCATTCAACCAGTTGTCGTCGAACAGTGTTTTTATATCCCTGTACCGTATGCAAATTTTATTCACCTGTCTCATGACATCATTCGGTTTCCTTTGGCAGTTCATTCTAATTGTCTCTATGATGACATATGTATCACCACATTTTATTTCTATGTCATCACTTTCACTCACGCCTGTAGGTTGTGTGTCATCTGTCACAATATCATCACAGGTCTTGGTCTTTAAGGACTGCTCGCTACATTCTTCAGTGGGTTTCCTAGCTCCATTTCCCGAATCTGATGTTCCATGACTGGTAGAGTCACTTGTAACGCGTTGTGATATTTCTTGTTGGATTGAAGTGGTATTATCATACATGATTATGTAGCTTTGATCATAGACTGCAGCTATGTCCTGGGGCCGTACATTTTCTATGATGTGGTCATCACATAGTATCCAACCATTCTTTGCAGTGGACTTCCTAACCATCGTAACATAGTGTCCAACATCACATGTGTCTCCCTTGTGGACAATTACCGACCTCAACTGATAAATGCTCATCACTTCATCATTTTCTGTCCCCCTTAAATAGGTCATGAATATCTCGTCTGGGGGTTCCACCGATGCCAACATCTTCCCTTGGCTTTGGTTCCTCAGCATAATAATAATTAAACACTGAGGAACTGTCTTTAACTTCTTCTGAGTTGAAAGTTGTGAACAGTTCCTACACTTTTCACATGGATCTCCGCGTTCTATGAGTTCTGGTTCCTTCGCCATTTTGTCCACTTCCCTCTGCAAACTAATTTTATCTGCATTACTCAGTACAGGAACAATTATCTCTGTGAATTCATGTCTCCTTATTTGTGTTCTTTCATTGCAAGTCGTGCAAAGTACACACTGCTCCACTTCAATCGTGTTCATTCCAATATTTGACATCATAGGCCCCAAGTGCAGGGAGATGAACTCATGTGCATCATTTTGCTGTCCGTATATGAGTGACCCCTCCCTACGTGAAGACAGTGCCTGTAGCAATGATCGGGTATGCTTTTTTTGGAGGACTTTGTTTTTCTTGTATCTTCTCAGAAAACGGCTGATTTCCATGTCTTTGCGATTTGCCCATTCATCATCAGGGACTTCCGAAAGGGCATCAACAGCATTTGTCGAAATCAATGCTTGTATGTTCGCATTGAACCAGCAGTTGTTGTGTAAATTTGTCAGGGGGCGAAACCGCCGAATGGCATAACAGGTCTGCCGATTGATTAACTTTGGTATCTTGGGGGTCCGTATATGATTTGAAGTCTTATAAGTCTGGAATGATATTATTAGTTTCCCTGCCAACGCTTGTTGTACGCTCTGGACTTGTTTTCTCAGTCTTTTTGGTTCCTCTCTGGGACGCTTTTCCAATCCACGTTTCTGAAGCTTGTGTAGACGTCTTATACTAAAAAACAACAAATGGTATTGGAATTAAACAAGTTATGGAACTAGTTTGCCAGTGACAGATCCAGGAATTTGAAATAGACCGGGCTCGGGGTGGGACTTTGACAGATATAGGGTCTATTACCACCTCACCACACCATGATTTGATTATGGCACCTCTAGATATCCGGAAATGGCACTCTTCTCATATTTCAAATTTGAAAATTTAATGTATTTTTTTCTGTTTTTTTTTTTAATATAATTTCGGAAAGTTAGAAAGGGTGTGGGTGTGTGTCTCAACCCACACCCTTGATTCCGCCCACTGTTTGCATATATAAATGTTGATCTTAGCAGATGTAAATTATTATCAATATTTATCCAGGCAAAAATGTGAGTCAAACATATACCATACCGCTCAGCTTTATTTAACAAATACAACACATACCTTTTTATTTCGGGATGATACATCGTCCTCATCCTCATCACTTCTGTTCCTTGACTTTTGTGTGAAAGGTTTGGTAACTGGTATTGGCTTCATTGGGGACTGTTGATATTTCCAATGCTTTTTTTCTTGCATTTTCAATTGTTCGTGTTGCATGTTGTCGCAATTCTCCTCGACGAGGTTGGTCCTCTTTTTGCTAGCTGTCTTTGACTTAGCCGACTATGAAAAGATCATTTATATGATGTCATGCTAGCGTTAAATATTTTTTATGCCGGCTTTTGTCTCTGAAATGCGAGTGGATTATAATATTTGTTTTGTTTTTTACTTTTAGTTGTGTACATGATTATACTGCAAAGTTCAGTTGAAATTAATAAATTAATGTTATTTTGTATACACCAAGTACCTGACTTGATGATAGAGTTCTAAATTAAGACATTAAACCGTTCGTCCCGTGTAGAAAATGACCCATGTGCACAAAATTAAATAACACAATACACTCTTCTAAAAACGGTAGGGATTGTCCCCTAGTGTACTGCCCAATTCACCACCAGAAAACCCCACTTAGCATAAGTCTTCGAATTTACGCGGGTTATCCTTGTTGGGTTACAAACCAAATCCAATCCAAATCCAACTACACTGTACTGAACACATGGGAAATATTTCACAGTACGAAAGAGAACAGTGTGGGTGAAATATACCGCTCAGGTTTATATAATACAACACATACCTTTCCCTTTTGGGGGGATACATCGTCTTCATCCTCATCATTGCTGTTATTTGACCTTCCTTTGACAGGTTTGGTAACTGGGATTGGCTTCGTTGGGGACTGTTGATATATATTTTTTTCAGTTATGTACATAATTATAGTATAATGTTCATGTGAAATCAATAAATGATTGTGAATCTGCATACACCATAAGTACCTGACTTGACAATAGACTTCTAAAATAAAACATTAAGCCTTTGGTCCCGGGTACAAAATGACCCATGTGCACAATATTAAAGAACGCACTACACTCTTCTGAAAACGGTAGGGATTGTGACCTAGTGTACTACAAATTTACCACAAAAGGACCACACCTGGAATAAGTTATAATCGTGGGTTATCCTTAGTGGGTTACAAACCAAATTCCAATCCAAATCCAACTGCACTGTACTGAATGCATTTCAGATATTTCACCGTACAAGAAAGAACTACATTAATCAAATATATACCACTCCGGTTTATATAGCAATACAATACATACCTCTCTTTTTTGTGGGGATACATCGCCTTCATCCTCATCACTTCTGTTACTTGACTTTCGCTTGACAGGTTTGGTAACTGGGATTGGCTTCGTTGGGGATTGTTGATGTTTTCCATGCTTTTGGTCTTGCATTTGCAATTGCTCGTGTTCCGTCTTGTTGCAATTCTCCTCGACGAGGACGGTCCTCTTTCCTGTAGCTGTCTTTGACTTAACCGACTACGAAAAGATAAATTATCAGAACAATTGTATGTAGGTTGAAAATCATCAAGTTAAAATTATTACTAAATTATTAGTGAATACATAAAAGATAGTTTACTAGTGTTAGTCAAATACACAACGCTCCGCTTTATATAACAAAACATACCTTTCTCTTTCTTGGAGATATATCGTCTTCATCCTCATCACTTCTGTTACTTGACTTTCTCTTGACAGATTTGGTAACTGGGATTGGCTTCATTGGTTTTTGTTGGTATTTTCCATGCTTCTTGTTTTGCATTTGGGACGGTTCGCGTTGTATTTTGTCCCAAGTCTCCTCAACGCGGATGGTCCTCTTTCCCCTGACTCTCTTTGTCTTTTTTTACGAGCGTCTTTCAGAGCAAGCGTCTGCAACGCTTTTGTTGTCTCTCTCAACCTCTCGGAGAACACATCAACTCGGTTCCGAGATTTTCGTCGAAGAATTAACGTCTTTAGCTGGTTGAACCTCCCCTCCTGTACGCCAGTTGTTTTGCTAGTTGCCCTTATTCCTTCTGTGAATGTGTACCTGTGGTATGGAGCCGACGTTCCGTGTCTCTTAAGGTTTCCAAGCATGATGCCAGACCAAAGCGGCAATGTAGGCAGCAGAGGTTTTTGTATATTAGCCAAAAACCTTGGGCCATACCTCCCATTGTTCTCCACCGTGCTGTCACCTTGTGCAATAGTCTGTTTTGCACGCTCAATAGTTCTCTTAGCCCATCTTGTGAAGCAAGTACCTTCAGCAAGATAAAGGAATTCCTCTTCAGTTTTGTTGATCGTGGTAGTTGTTCACCCACCACAGCGTCTTCAGTTGATTCGTACACGTCATCCGACACCTCCTTCAGTTTTTCCTTCGAGAGAGCATTGAATCTATTGTGCATTCTGTCACTTGCCTGCTGCACTTCTGTTGTTAATTTTGTACCTTGCAATACAACAGCCATGTCAAAAAGGGCTTGCTCAGCCTCCTGCAGGGAATCTGCATTTAGAATAGTACAGAAGCAGTACAACCCATACTCCATATTCCCTGCATAGTACGTCTTGCATGATTTCTTCACATCTTTCATTACATGAGCGGTACACGCGTGAGGGATCGTTTTGTGTTGAATATCGTTATCCAAGGCATTCCCCGTTACAATCCGCCAGCAGCGATCTAAGAATTCCTTCACAGACTCGTTGTTGAATTCTGCCAGAATTGCCATTATAAAAGCCATCGCTCTATCCATATTGATTTGGCGGGGGATAGAATCTCTTTGGTGTCCGAACAGAAGCTTTTCACATCTTCTAAATTCCGATATCCAAAAGCGTATGACAGTGGCCGAATGGACGGTACTGAGCATACCCATGATTGGTATCGGCGATTCGCCTTGTATGGGGTTCTTCATGCACAGTTCGTAGTAAAGGAACTTCTTTTTTTCCTTCGACAAGCGAGCAACGTTGCCTGTAGCATCTATTACCGCTGCATTTTTCTGGGAAAGATCGTGCCATAACCTAACACCTTCCTCGCTCCAGTAAAATACGAAAGTTGGTGATGTAGCTATGAGCTGTATAAAGCCCTTTACTTTTTTGTTCCCTGTGTCATTCTCCATATTTTTTTTCAATCGATGCAGACTCGTTAGCTCATCGCTGTCGAGAATACACGATGTACCTGCTTCATATGACACTTGCCGGAGTACTTGCTTGTTTGTACCAAGATCATCGAAATTACCAGCCAAAACAACGTGAGCAGCATCTTTTTGCCCATGTCGTCTTAGGTATTCATTCAAAGGCTTTTCGCCATGGGTGAAGATTTCTTTCAGCTTTTCCCTCTCTGTTCCTTTTATAGGTCTGGCATGCTGTTCTTTTAGGTGGTGCATTACAACGTCGTGGCTATATTTTACAGTTGCCCTAAAATTTCCATTCATTGTCAGTTTGGCAGTAATGGGGCAATCTTTGAACTTGCAGTACAGGCCTGCTGTAAACAGTGCTTTACGTCCTCTCAATCGCTGTTTAGACAAACTTACACGGTGACGTCTTATCATCAACACGCAATACGGATTTGATAATTTCATCCCTTTTATGAAAGGTTCATGCCACTGCCCTTCCTGAAAATACCTCGCTCGCAAATGTTTGCACATTTCGTTCCATCGTTCTTTTCTTATTGAGAAGGTTGCAGTTTTTTGAATATCAAACCTTTTGATTATATTTTCACCAATATCTTCTCCAAGGCAAGCGCCTATGGTGGCTTTGTCAATGGGTACTTTCTGCATAAACGAGGCCATACTTTCGCTTCCTTGACTGGAAGCAATGGCTGCACCTTTGCCACGCTCATAATCGCCAATGTATGGATACAATCCAGAGCTTGTGGCACGATGTCTATCTGAATATCGTTTGTCACTGCTGCAATCCACATCCGTAGAAAATATGCTGTTTTCGTCGGATGATCCGATAGTCGTATTGTCCTCAACATTTGAAAGACACACATCTTCTTCAGCAAGGTCAAAATCTACGTTACGGCTGTGGTGCTCATCGTCTTCATGATCGCTTTCTTTTTCGTACCATCCATCACTTGCGCATGGTTGTCTATCTATGCGTTGTTCATCACTTGTTAAACCCGCATCATCGACAATTGTGTGAGGTCCAGTCGAAAATATTCTTTTTTCGTCTGATGATTCTGAAGGTGTATTTGACTGACACGCGTCTTCATCATCAAGGTCAAAATCCAAATTACGGATGTGGTGGACATCGTCTTCATGATCGGTTTCTTTTTCAAACAATCCAACAGGTTGTCTATCTGGACGTTGTTCGTCAATGCTTGAACCAACATCATGAACACCTGTGTGATATCCAGTCAGAAATTTGCTGTTGTCTAATGATGCCAAAGATGTATTATCGTCAGCATCTGCAACACCCATATTTTCCCCATCATGATCGAACTGGATGTTAATGATCTGGTGGTTTTCATTATCGGTTTCAGCTGGTTTTGTTTGTTTGAGGGTCAAGGTGTTCTTTTTCAATTCAAGAACTCTTTTACCGTCATTACATCCTCTAACCCCACAGCAGAATCGGTAACATGCCATATCCACATCAATGTAGGTCATAATGTTTATACAATCGTAATGATACCATTTGAAGTACTTTTCACACTGGACAGCCGGACGAATGACACTCCCCTTCCAAGCCTGTTGGCAAATGCAGTAGGTGTAAGTTTCCCAACGTTAAGAAAACCTCTTGGGTTTATGTTTCTTTTACTTCTCCATGGCACTGTAGTGGCTTGTGGCTCAGCTTCAAGTTCTGGTTGTGCTAATTTGGCATCCTGCCCGTCTTGCAATATGTCATTTGCATTGCTTCCAACGTTCGACTTTCTCCTTTGGGCGTCCCAAACATTCTCTGTATATTCCCGTACCCCTCCTCTGTTTGTTCCTCCATATAACTTTCAAATACTTTCTGTTACTAATAGTATTGAACCACTTCATTTCTTTCAAAATAGTACCCCATACTGAACAGGCAATCTCACTGGTAGTATTAGTAGTCGGGAAAATATGCATGGCGAAGACCATCTTCATTTGTTCATAATCAACATTTTTCCTCTTCTTCTTTGCAGCAGGAATCCATTGGCGGCGACCACGACGACGACAATCACCCCGACGAGAAACACCTCCAAAAATCTGTTAAAGTTTGAAGTCAATGATTACCAATATGTTGATGTGATTAAAAATATGCTTTAAAATATGATATAAAACTGCCTAATAATGACCAAAATGGAAGAATACCAAAACCGCAAGCTTCACTCAAGCAGAATTGTCAGGATACTATACAACCATAATAATCATTATGGGAATTATATAGTACGTGGTCAATGAGGCTTAAATACAAAGTTTTACATTTATAATAATAGGAATGGTATGGAAATCTAAATAGTGTATTTCCCCCAGCCTAGGAACACTTTTTGGGTGCAAAAATACTTTACTTTTTAAAACAATTACTTCGGTCCGTGACAAAATAATGATAACGATATTAAATTTCAAAATATGAAGAACAATTAGGTTGTGTGATATAGTCAACAATACTCTTTCAAAATAAATATTTTTATTTTTCATAATTATAATATAATTTTCATAATTATAATGAAAAATATGTTATTTTTACCACATGGACAAATGCCACAAAAAATAACTTTCAGGTGAGGACAATTATTAAAATATGTCAACCTTCAAAAGTCATGTTCGATCCTTGTCAATGGTCAAATTATATTTAAAAAAAAAACATATTGTAGAATTCACAAGCATCATGTTAATATATGTTTGATCAGTAAAACGCAAATGTAAAACAAATTGCGGGGCCACATTTTAGGACCTCAAACCTAAAATTTTTATTTATTTTGTTTATATTGCATATGCTATGAAATTTACTTATTTTTTAGTAAATTTTACTAAAAAATTCTGTCCATCCTCACAATTTCAGTGTGTATTACTGTATTAGAGTACAGTATGTAAAGACTGATAATATTAACATTATCGATATCAATACTTTTACTGCACATTATTATCTTGCAGTAGAATAGCAAATGATAACGACTCGTAGTCTACTAGAATTGTAGGTATGTATGTACTATAATTTTTTTAAATATGATTATTCAATACTGTACCTAATATCAGAAAAATTTGGTTTTTTTCCTCCTGTGCCATACTTTAACGTCATACCGCATCGTGATGCTGTTTTCGGAACTATTCATTGTATACCCGATATTCATTAAATATGCATGATTATGTATATATGTAAATTAATAAATAAATTACATTATATTACGTCATAATGTACCATGTCCATAATATTTGAATTACTGGAAATTCCACATAATGATCAATGCATTACACTGTTAAAACACTGTAGATACCATAGTCATCATTTAATTATTTGCTTGTCTTCTATTTATCTAGCATTAATGACTGTCTCCTGAATTCTGTGAATAAAATATCTAGAGTGGTCTTGTTATAAGGTAATATTGAAAAGATATATTTCAAAAATACATCGGTATGAGGTAACAATTTCCCTCATATCTGTCTGTTTTTGGTAGGTATGTATGAGGTAACAATTTCCCTCATATCTGTCTGTTTTTGGTAGGTATGTATGAGGTAATTATTTCCCTTGTAAAAATGGTCTAAATTGACAAGCGGTAACGTGAATAAAAACTAGTTATCAATCTTTCATTCGTGTTTAAATGCTGTAACATGCCAGAATTTAAATCAATTCATTAAAAAAGTAAATTAATTTATTTGGGTAATCAAGGTGCTATAATATGCAAAAATATTATTAGATTACATGGAATGAAAACAAACATTTTTAATTAAACATTTTTGCATCATAAAATTTAGTAATTTGAATCATTATTGTGTGTAAAAAGGCAAAATGCTGGATATATAAAATAATATAACAGGAAACAATATAACCCAATAAAAAAGTGTCATGATAAACAGATAGTAGATATTTGTAATTTGACTGTCATTTGATTCAGATAAAGGTAACTTATTGGCATTCATCGTCCTTATGCAAGCAATATAGGCATGTTGTCAAAACATAAAATAAACACTGAGAATATAAGGTTAGTTTTTTAAATATTCATGGGAAGTTCATTCATAAATAATAATTTTAAATCTTAATTTACTGTTTTGAAGTCAGGTCTGAGCTTAAAAAAAATACCTCCGACATTAAAACCGTCATCAGATGACAAATATAATTGGGACCGCCAAATCAGAGTGGTTCGCAGAGGGTCTGCTAAATTAATATTTTTTTTACGATT